CGGACCCCGCTGGCCCCCAGCGAGATGATCACGGCGCAGAGCGCGCTGCTGGAGAGGGAAGCGCAGGAGTCCAGCACCACCGACGAGGAGCTCGCAGGCCGGAGAGCGGCCAACGGGAGCAGCGAGAGGGGCGGCGCCCTCAGCACCCCCGACTATGGGGAGAAGAAGCTGCCACAGGCGCTCATCATCGGGGTCAAGAAAGGAGGGACCCGCGCGCTGCTGGAGGCGATCCGAGTCCACCCGGACGTGCGGGCGGTGGGCGTAGAGCCGCACTTCTTCGACAGGAACTACGAAAAGGGGCTGGAGTGGTACAGGTAGGACCCTGGGCTCAGGGGGTGTGATAGACGCGGGGAAAAGACCTGGAGGGGAAGCCGCCGCTTCCCATGCCCTTGGACATCCAGGCACCTCCCCGAGAGCCTTTCGCCCCGCGAGGGCTCTGCGAAACCTGGCGGGGCTGCTCAGGGGGAGCGCAGAGAGGGCTAGAGGCTGGCCAAGGATCACTTTATTTCAAGGCGAGAGGAGGAGATGTCACCCTTCCCTGCCTGCCTCAGGCTCCTCGCCCAGGGAGGTGCTTCTGAATCTGCCTAGCTCCAAGCCTGGGAATCCCCAGTCCAGGTGCCCGCGGGGTGTTTCCCAGCCCAGGCTTTTGCGGGCCTCTCGCTTCTGTGTTGGGGACGCTGAGGCATGAAGCAGGATGACTAGATTAACTAAAAGGCTTTGAGATCCCCTGGAATCCCTCAAAATCGCCCTCAAACGCATTTGTGTGGCTGGAGTCCAACTTGAGTATTTTCAGGTTAGAGCAAAATGAACAGAGAACAGTTAAAAAGATCATGCTGGTGAGTTTTGGCTTTCTAGTAAATACTGAGCAGGTTCCCTGTCTCCAGAACTTTCTATCCGCGTTTGGCTTCATGAAACCTGGGTTGATTTTGCATCAGGGGCATCAGTGTCTGCATGACAAGTGGTGCCCTAAGAGTTGTTACATCCTGCGCCCCTGCCCTTTCTAACCGGCGCCTCCTTTGCAACAGATTGGAGCTATGTCTTGTGAAATGCTCATCTCCCTCCTTTTCCACCGTCTGCCAGCGGTGAGAGAAAGGGAGAGGAGAGTAGAAAGTTAAGTGCAGGTAAAATAAATTAATAATCCAGCTTTCTTGCCAGCCATAACATTTAAAACAACAGTGGTGCCAATGCCCAAAATGCAAACCTCCTTTGCTTTTTTTTTTTTTTTCTCTCTCTCTTTCTGCCGGTTTTATATCTCTCTGGAAAACAGATCTGGATGGCTGCCCCATCTCGGTTGCATCTCAGTAATTAATTGCAATTGTCAAACAGAAACACAGGCTTTGTCAGCTCAAATGATGTTATCATTTTAACAGAGCCAATAGGTAAAATAAGAATTGATTCCTGACAAGTCGCCTTGCTGTTGAAGTGATGTGCTTTCTAAGTTTAGATTACAGCCTGAGAAAGTTTTAGAAATAACCTAACTTCAGAAATACATAATTAATGTGTGTATTGTGATTGATTTCTTCCACTTTTAAAAATATGCCTTATGCTTTCAAAGCTTGAGAGAAGTACACTTAGGCATAAACATTCCAGCACATTAAACCGGAAACAGCAAATGTGTCTGTTAATGTCTTGTCTGTTTCAACAGAGAGAACTAATTGCAATATTTTAGGAGGCTTCAAACGGCCCCTTCCTATCAAAACAGAAAACAGCAAATGCCTAATTTAACTGGAAAATCAGTATTTATAACATCACAAGCCACGGCTTCCAGTTTGTGATTATAATTAAAAAGGTGTTAGAATGATTAATGCAACAACAGCAAACTGGAGAAAGAGTATGATGCCTGGGAAGGTTTTGGTTGTTTAGTTGTTGGTTGTAGGAATGTTCTGGTTTCTGCTGTGGGGTAGCTTTGGCCCTATGAGGGTAACTGTGGCTTTTCCAGTTCTAATTTTAAAGCTGTGTATCTTGTGAGAAGTGTCAAATGCCCTTTGGGGGAGTGGGAGGTGTAGAGATCAGATCTTTCAAACGTGTTGTGTTGCTTTGCGGGAGCTGGAAATAGAGAAGGGGGTGTTTTATTCAGGTGACTTAAAATAAAGTTGATGAAGTGTGAGTGGTGGAATGCATGTCAGGAAGTCTGATTGTAGGGTCTGGAGAATTTTCTGAATGAAAGGATAGAAGATGCCAGATTTTCTCATGTTCTTTTATACTGTGGCTAGGAAAAGAAGGTATGTAACTGCCTTGGTGTCATGACACGGCTGCTGAAGATATCATTCCAGCTCTGTGGTACTCTCAGCCATCACTTGTGGTATTTGGGACATGGTGTCAATATTTGGTAGCCACCCATAGAACTGTTCTGCTGAAGAGATGTGGATAGAACTAGATTCCCTTGATCCTCACTTCAGAGGACCATGTGATATCTCTGTGTTCTCCATCTGCTACCCCAGCGACTGGCCCATGGGAGATCCTTATACTACTCAGTGGTGCTGATTGGAAGGGCTGGAGGAGAATCTGTCTAACATGGAGGGAGTCAATAGCCACCCAAACCTGGCTGTTGAGAAGACTCCCAGAAACCTCTTGGACCTGCAGGAGCTGAGTCTGCTGGGACCGGCCTTGGATAGCTCTCCAGCCTTACAAGAGACAGCAGTGCTTCGGGGGCATTTGTGGGGTTTTAATTAGCTCCATCTCTTCAGGCTCTCCTCTCTCCCATGTAGGAAGAGGGGATGACATCCTCACTGTATTGTAGAGAAGGAAACAGCGGCATTGATTCAAACCAGTCACAGAAACCGTTCCTCTTGGTCCCCTGGGGCAAGTCCATCTTTTAAATGGCGGCATCTGTACTTAAATGGTTATACCGCGTATGCTACCTGAAATCTCACTCTACTATTTGCCTGGTTAGAGATCCACAGGTTAATTAAAGGTTTTGATTCCCCCCCATTTATTTGTTTTCTTTTTCTTTTTCTTTTCAGTGTGCTTCCCAATAGCCTACTAATTCTGCCAGTGTTTCTGGTTGTTGAGTTTTCAGCAAGAGGGAGAGCAAGAAGAAACTGAGGCTGTTGTCGGCAGAGCTGGCCTGGGGTTTCCTTGTATCCAACTAGGCAGCCCTAGCAGTTTTATTTCTGGTGTCACTACAGTTATGTCTAAATCCGGGTTTTTCTTTCTCCTATGCTGTTGATCTAATGTGATTTAAAAACACATTTGAGATGAGAACACACGCATCGGATTTTCAGGGCGAGATAGACTGATGGATTAGGATGTGTGTGTTAAAGCTATGGAAAAGCAAGCCTCACTTGGTGGATGGACACAGGCCAGTGATTAATAAGTGGGGATAGATTAAACCCTCTACTCCTTCCTCCCTCCACCCCCCAAAATAAAAGGGTGAAGCCATAATGCACCTTTCAGTATGAGCTGGTACATGCTGTCTGGGGAGAGACCTTAAACTCCTCTAAGGGCGAGGGCCTTGTGGAAGGCCAACTGGTTGCCATGGCAGAACCCATCAGAGTGACAGAGATGACTCGAGCTGTGGCCTCCCTCGTGGTTTACAGACTGTACAGTAAGCATTACCACTGCTTTGGAAACCACTCAGCTCCAGGGTGGTGGGAAGTGACCCGCCATGGTTTCGGGTAGTCTTCACTGGCAACAGTTAATAAATACATCCCATTGGCTGGGGGAAAATAACTCAGGAACATGGCTTCAGTAGTCATGCTCATGCCCTCCAGAGGAAAGTGGTCAGCAGCATTATTCACACGTGGTATCTGGAGAGAATGAAGGAGGATGACGGAAAGGCACTGGTATTTATTGAACGCCTGTGATTGTGGTAATTGGCACTTTGTAGACATGTTATCACATCGGGGTGTCACGGTAAGTTAAATAGCAGCATTGCTGGTCTACAGGTGGCTCCTGGAGGGTAGACCACTTGCTCAAGGCTGCTCAGCTGGTCAGTGGTTGAGCTGACCACATCCGTCCAATTTCAGAGTGCTGGTTTCTTTCCCTATAGCACACTGCCACACATAAAGTGCTAGAAAGTCTCTTCCTTCTTTCATTTTCCTTCAACAAGCATTTAATAATATTTACCACGTGCCCAGTACTGTTTTAGATACTGGGGATAAAGTGGAGAACAAGGCAGATGGAGCACCTGTTCTCCCGGAACTGACATCTTTTAGTAGGGGGGTAGGGGAGACAGCAAACAAACGGGTTAGTAGGGGGGTAGGGGAGACAGCAAACAAACGGGTCTTTCTTTTTACCTTTTCATGTGGCCACTAGAAAACTTAAAATTACACTTGTGACTCCCATTATGTTTCCATTGGGCAGGGCTCCTGTAGAGCAGCGCTTTTTAAACTTTAAATGTGCATAAATCGCCTGGGATGTTGTTAATATGCAGATTCTGATTCATCAGGTCTGGGTTGGGGCCTGAGATTCTGCGTTTCTGATTTCCCCAGATGATGTTGATGCTGCTGATCCCTGAACCTCACTTTGAGAAGCAGGAGTCTAGAGAGTAATAGGTGTGTGTGTGTGTGTGTGTGTGTGTGTGCGCGCACGCGCGCGCACACATATGTTATTTTAAATCCAGTGATTAGGGGAAAGCTCTCTGTGGAGGTGATGTAAATGAAGTGAAAGAGTAAGATCCTGCTGTGTGAAGATCTTGGTGGAGACACTTCCAATAGAGGGGACAGCAGGTACAAAGGCCCTGAGGTGGAAACAAGCCTTATGGCTTTACAACGTGTTCTTTCATTATTTCAAAAGCAAAGTGTCTGTAGCTGGACAAAACTGGGTTTTGCAACTTATTAGTTAGATGATCTTGGTTGGATAACTGATTTAACATCACTCAATTTCAATTTATTTATCTGAGAATAATTCCTCCTTGCAGGATTGTTGGGAGGAATAAATGAAATAATACAAGTGAATGTGTTTTCTAAGCAAAAAATGAGTATCCTGGAGCAGAAATCCAAATGGACCCAACTGCTGCGTTTTTCCATTTCTCAAATCATTTTGGTCTCATGTGCCTTCTATCACAGCTTTCATAATACTCACTGAAGAGTCTCGTATGGGGGATGTTTTGGGGAAAAGTCCAATAATGATTGGCTTTGCAATCTACATCTGCTTAACCTTTTGAACAAAGGGTCACCAATCAGATGCCTTCCAGGCCCACAGAGATCATATAAATAAGTGAAATAGACTAGGTGGGGAGAAACTGGGACGCATATGCTCTGTCTAAAGGGGCAGCCACTACTCTGTTCCAGCTGCTCTTTTCCTTGTGCAAATGTGGCGTCAGGGTTATCAGATCTTCCACTTGGTAAGAGAAACTGGAAATCCAGATTTT